ATTATGCTCCAACACAATGTTCTAGAGGCTTAGAGTAACAAAGGTGTATTTCTTGCTCAGGCTACCTGTTTGTAAAAGGTTGGCAGAGCCTGTATTTCTCATTTCCTCACTCTGCAACCCAGGCTGATTAATCATTTACCAGCTAAAACATCACTAGTCACATGGCAAAGTAAAAGGAACACAATATACCACGCACTGCCTCAAAGGCTTCACCAAGGAAGTGGCACACACCACTTCCACTCACACTTCCTTAGCCAAGGCGGTTGTCATAACCACATCTTGCTTTAAAAGGGATAGGGAAATCCAGATGTAACATGTGTTAGAAGAAGAGAAGAACGAGTATGTTTTCCAACAATCCTACTGACTATCACAGAATGATTCCACGTGGAATTGGTTTATTTTCTTAATCTACAGTTCTACTGTATAAGAAAATACTAACACATAGCATCTGACAGTTGGCCAGAGAAGGCAGTTTTTGGCAACTATGTCATTTGGTTCTGCATTTTTGGTTCAAGTGTGCCATAAATGCGGGAGCAGATCCTCACCACAGACCACTCACTCTCAGCAGCACATCAAACACCACATCAGTGAGCACACTCCCCTGGAAAGCAGGGAGCCTAAATGCTGTAAAACTTGGAAGATGATGATGGTAAATAGATTAATTCTGTTTTGTTTTTTTTTTAATTTTAGTTTCAGAAAGAATTTCTTTGAACTCTGTTGCAGAAATGGGATGACCTCTTAAAATATAACCACTCATATACTATTGATTTCTTTCTCTGAGGCATGAAGAATATGAAGTGTCAGGAAAAAGTTCATCTGTTGGCAATAAAACTATTTGAATTCAATTCAAATTCACCATTCAAGTCTCATGGGAATTTCTCTTACCAAAGCCAACATTTTACCATCCTTATTATTTCAACCCATATTTCCTTATGTTTCAATTTATAAATTTAGGTCATTCAACCTAAATAACACAGTGATGAACAAAAACTTGAAATCCCAGAAATGGCCCTTATTGGGAATGTCACAACCATAAATTTTTTTTATTTCATCTCTCATTCAAAAAGTTCTGGGAACTTTCTCTTGTCAGCTGGTACCTCTCACTATGGGAAAGGAACATGAAATGTCAGTCCATTTATCGCCATGTATCCCAAAATTACCTGCACAGAATGGTGCAATTTAATTATTAATTGGGTCCTTTGGCGATCCTTCAGCCAGAAAACAAAATATCAACGTAAGTATTGCCATCTACTACCTGTATTCTGTGGCTAAAGCTGTGTGTGGACTGGCATTCAAGTGACACTCCTTTATTGATGGGTCAATGCCCCTTTTAGTTGTGTACATCAATGGTCTTGCTTCAGTACTGATCTCAGCATGATTTTTTCTATCTCTATTGCAGATTACAGAAGAATAGTTAAGTCGAGAACTCATCTAATCTCTTTTAATCATTCATTTTCAGTGAAAAACTAATATTTCTTTAAACCATTCTTCCCATATAAGTGCTACCCGTAGGTCAAGAGCTGATTCAGTGGTTTCATCCAAATGTAAAGTAAAATATGGGATTGCCTCAACCTGTACCGATACCTACTATTACACTCACGTAAGGATTAAGGCAATTTAAAAAACTGGCAGGTGTTTGTCCTGCTTTTTTTCTTTTTTAGCATAATTTGGATTTCATTCTCTTGTTGACAGTGACCTTTACCTGTCTTTGCTCTGGTGAATGCAACTAAGAATGACACCCATGCAATTCTTTGTCTTTCCTCTACCTGTCATGAAAAAATTAATAACTTTCACACTGGAAAGTATTAACTAACAAATATTTCTGAAAAAGTCAAATAATTTAACCATAGAGATTCTAGTATAACTTGGAGAAGAACCCAGAACTTCAAAGGTTTCGCGCCAGTACAACAGTCAGTACCTAAGAGACCAGGAGGGAAAGGATTCTTGACTTAAGAAAATTAAATTTTCAGATATTTATTGTTGTATATCGTTATACTTCCCAGCTGCATTTTTCTTTGCTGGTGTGTGGATTCACCTGTCTGGCAACATGGGTTTGTATTTTATGTTTTTATTAAGAACTTTTCACTAGATGGATATATAATACTGTCTTATCACTCACTATTGTTGAATACATATTGCTATTTTTACCATTACTTCCCATAGTTAATGTAAAGTGATATAATGAGAATAATGGGGAACATTCCAAACTTAAATATGAATAATACCATAAAACTAGTGTGAAATGTGGGTCAAGATGAATTGATCAAAATAATATCTGTATAATGTGCATTGCCCTTAAGGACAAAATTATTATAGGGACATTACCATGAATCTAAAATTAATCTTATTAGTCTAAATTTATAAAATGTAAGGCAGATAAATTATATCATCTTCTTCCCTCTGAAATTACTGGACTGCCCATAATTTAGTTATAGATTTCCATGGACTACTAATGATGCACATAGGACACTTTGCCACAGACAGCATTTATATTTATACAAATATATTTATAATGTCTATATAATGTCTTCATATTTATTTTCTATTTTACTCTTATTTTCTTTTTCCTTAGTAAACTCTATAAAGAAAAAGGTCTGTAGATTTATTTAAACAGATATCTATACTACATTTACATCTCCAGACCCAACGTTTCCCTCAGGCTTCAGACTCAGGTGCCTGTTAGACTCTACTTGGATGTTGGAAAAGCATCGTCAGCTTACTCTGTCCATAACAGGACTCTTGGACAGTCTTATCCAAACTTGGTCCAAATGCAAAGATACCTATTTCCTTATGTAACCATTCATCCAATTGTTGAAGTCCAAACCTAAAAGGAGATTGAGACCTGCTCTCATCCATACATCCAATGCATCAACAATTTCTGTTGACTTTACTCTCAAAAAACACCTGACGATTTCCCACAACTTAAACCATTACCACGCAAGCTGCCATCACCACATTTCTCACTTGATCTACTCATTATTTTGTTACTGGACTCTCTTGTTTCTTGTCTTGCCCACACACTTGTATTCTCACAGCAGTCAGAAAGACCTTTTAAAATCTAATCAGGTCAAGGCAAAATTCTCCAAGGGCTTTCTATCATGCTTAGAAGGAAATCCAGTCTCCGAACAATGGCATGAAAGGCCTCATGTGGTCTGCTCTCTGGCTGCCTCGGGGAAGCCTATCTTGCTCATTTCACTGCAGACATTCTGGCTTTTGGGATCTTCCTTTCATGGACTAAGATCATTCTTGACTCTGGAGTTTTGTACTTATGGTTTCTTCCACCTGGAACACTGTATCCCACTGATATTTGTGACTTGTTCTGTTACTTCAATTAGGTTATTTTCCTATCACCCTAACTTAATAGAGCTTTATTCCTACTTGTCCTAATCCTGCTTCTTTTGTTTCCATAGTTTTGTCACCCTCTGACATTCTATTGAATATTTATTTATCATAATTTTCTCACTGGAATGTAGATTCCATGAAGGTAGAGACTTTGCATTGCTCACATGCCAAATTCCCAGTTAGCAGAGATATACGTTTGATGTGTCCTATCCTTTAGTTAGTTCTATGGAAAGTAAGAGAGATGATAGAATATCTAAAAATGAAAACTTGGCCATCAAATCTCAGGGGAGTAACAAGCACTCTGTGAAGGAAGAAAAGAGTGTGTAGGGGATTTAACTTTGATCTACAGAGTGACTATAGGAATTGAACTTAGAGAGGCCATGGGGTTTCCACCTATCTATACCTTGCCCACTGAGCAGATGGTGGCTGAGAACTCATACACTTTCAGAAATATCCTTTCAGCCTTTGGTTAAATTCATAGATTAGAATTCGGAGACATAATTCTGGTTATTAAGATGTGTTCATTATAAACAAAAATTTAATAGTGAACAACTTTACCTGATAAAGATTTAGCACAAGCACAGTCTAAATCAAATCTCAGCAAAATCCAAACTGTACCCCACTGGATAGGCTACTGTTTAAATCTATAGTGAGAGAAGATTTGTATGTCTCTGTCTTAGCCACCTACGTCTTTCCTGTGTAGTGACTACTCATATATTATCATTGTTGAAGTAAAAATATGTGCTTTGGCCACAGATAGAGTTGCACAGAGGAAGGGAAGTTGGTAACAAGTATTCCTTGACAAGTGTATGTCCTTTGCTACAACAAACTCTCCAGGTAGTCACTGCGTTCAACTGGTTTTGGAGACGATGACAGTAGATAATTCATTAGTGGCAACTTCTAGCAGAGCAAATATGGTGGAGTTATGGACTTCAGGCTCTAACTAAGGAATTATTACTTAGTACCTGGTGGGGAAGAAATGATGAGCTTACTAAATATTATTTTACTCGATAAAGAATATGGTGTATACATCTCAAATGAATTCTATGTTAACAATTAATTAGTGGACTAGTCAGTTCCTCCACAGGTCAATACAAAATTCAAACATTCATTTCTACACACTTGTTTTACATTAAGCTTCTTAAAATCTCTAGTGAGGAAAGCATCAAAGACTTGCTGGAAGGGCATATCAGTCTGTTCAGAGATTTTCCATTATTACACTAGACAATAATGTTTGGATAACTATAATCTTAATCAGAAGTGGTTACTCTTTCCGATTTATCCAAGATTCAGTTGAATGTTCTTTTAAGAAAAGCACAACCTCCATTAATTATGACTATTCTGAACTGAATATCCATATGACTTCATGTGACCACTAAAAATTTTAGACTACAAGTAAATAACAGTTACCTGCTGAGGCAGTGACTTCATTGGTACCATAATGTCAACAGTTGGTTTTATATGAATGTATAAATCTTGACTGGATCTAATTTATGAATTTAGCAGGCTAAATTATATTTTATCATCTTCCAAGCAGCTAAAAACAGAAAGCTAAGACGTATTTCCAATCTTAACTATTTCAACTGTTTTTGTGGAAAAGGCATTTTTCTATTCAGAAGACCTATGGCTAAGTATAGTTATGAAAATTTTAGTCATACCTCTCGAATAGCAGTACAAAACTCACTCTGAAGCACTTTTTTGAGGGATTGTAGCTTGTGCACTGGTACTTCTCCAGATTCCTGTAGCTTTTCCAGTAATTCAATTGCTCTGGCAACATCTGAAAAAAAAAATCAAAACAGAGGGATCTAGAGTCAACTGTATCTTATCAGTAAAGTACCATCATTCCAATGGAATGGTACAATGAAAACTAAGTGCAATAAATTGCAAAATCAGAACTTGTAATTCATAGCTTATTGACCTCATCTTTTGATAAAAAGTCATTTTAATTTGTTCTACACAATTAGTCACTGAGCACACCTCCTCTGATGGCATTTCATTCGTGTTCTCTGTCACACAAATCAGTTTGAATATTATATCAGGAAAGAAAAAGAAGTGTGCCTTTCATCGATACCCCAATAACCAAAGAAATCCTGTCAATTTTACCTCTGAGATGTTTTCAGTGTGACTTTTCCTTTCCCATACCACATTTATCACATCTGCAATTTTACATTTATTAGTATAATATATGTTTATCTATAAACTCTTACAGTTTAAACTTTTATCCAAACTCTATGTTGAGTAACCTTCGCATCCCCATCATATAATACAATGAATAAATATTTAATGAATTAATTAATTAATTAATGGGCTCTCTCCATGTAACTATTATCATTCCAAGCCCTTATCATCATCTCCTCTCTGTCCAAATAGAGTCACTTCTTCTCCTCCAGACTCTTCCTATGGTCCCTAAATTTATCTTCCTAAAATAATAATCTGATTATGTACCCACCTACAAGAGCTTCGAAGAACAGTACCAAGCAAAAAAAATTTTTCAATAATAAGTTAAATGATCCTCTTTTGATGGACAATATCAAAGGTTAATGTATCAAGAAACATTGTCTTTTATACCCATAGCTTTAAAATTCCCAGGATGGTTTTGTAGTGCCTAGAGAAAAATGATATGATAAAAGGCCATTTTAAAAATAAAGTATGATGGGGGCGCCTGGGTGGCTTAGTCGGTTAAGCGTCCGACTTTCGCTTAGGTCATGATCTCGCGGTTCGTGGGTTCGAGCCCCGCGTCGGGCTCTGTGCTGACTGCCAGCTCGGAGCCTGGAGCCTGTTTCAGTCTGTGACTCCCTCTCTCTCTGACCCTCCCCTGCTCATGCTGTCTCTCTCTCTCTGTCTCCTAGAAATAAATAAAAAACATTAAAAAAAATAAAATAAAATAAAGTATGATGATCTCTTCTATCTGTTGTAGTCAATAACTAAGTGCAAGGTCACTTAGGCATTTATGTTTAAGATGGAAGGTTTTCAGTTTCTAAGTGATTACCTCCAGGAAGCTCCCCATATCCCTGCCAGATTATAAATTCATCCATCCCTCCATCCATACGTCCATCCATCCATCCATCCATCCATCCATCCATCTTCTAATTTCTGTTCCCATTAGACCTGGCACTAAGATTATGTGGAAGGGTTAAGACACACTTCCTTTCTGAACTCACAATCAAATGAAAAAGAAATATAACAGCATTGCTATTTATAATAAAATCATTTTTAGAATGATTTAGAATTTGGGTGGGGTTGGCATACATATATGTATCTAATCAAAGAAAATAACCAGTGAGTGACTTTAATGGAGACTTTCCTTTGAAGTATTGCCAACTGATTGCCAATTGTGGCCCAATGAAGCAAAAATCATGAAATCAACACAACTTTGCCAATTTGAAAAGTTTGTCTTTTTGTACATAAACCAGAAGTCAACACAGTCAATTGGACAATACCAGCCGTATCCACAATCAATAAGTTACCAAGCTAAGAACGTATGCATTTCTAACTTCACAAAAGACTGTCTAGCTGTCTATAGGTATATGGAACTCTCAACTGTCACAAACTGAGCTCTTTATTTTTTTTTGTGAAACTAGTTCTTCTCTTCCCATATTCCATAACTCCATTAATAGCATCTCCGCCCAGCCTGTCCTCCAAGCTAGACATCATCTTTCACATTCACCCCCACATTTAGTTAGTCAGTAAGAGCTGTAGTTCTATCTCAAATATCCCTTTTGAATGGAGCCCTTTTGCTTGATTAGTTCAGAAAAGCCTCTATTATTTTTCACCTTATTACTGGCACATCTCCCAACTGTTTTCTAAGTTCGCCTTTTTTGTTCATTCCACCCTCCACCTTGTTACCAGAGTGACTATCCTGAATAATAAACTTCATTACTATACTTCCCCACATAATACCTTCTCTGACTTCCCACTGCCTGCAGGGTGAAGTTCAGACCATGCAGGGTTACATACAAGGCCCTTAACAACCATCCTCTCCAGAATCATCTCTAGAAACCTCCTCCTGCCCATTCTATACTTTGGCCATCCAAAATATTCGTTGTTCTAGGACATGCCACAGATTTCCATACCTGTATGGCTTTGCACATATCATCCTTTGTTCCTGGGTTAATTCATTCATCCAATAATGCCAGACACTGTGGTCTGAATGGGACATAGTGGTAAAGGAGACAGCTGGTTGCTGTCACTTTCATGAACTTTATAGGTTGCAGGGGTCACAGAAATGCAATAAAGTGGGCATGTCTTATAAAAGAATCATTTAAGGATAGTGCATGAATGTATAACAAAGACATTTATCATAACTCAGGAGGTCAGGAAGGACTTCTTCATGGAAGTAATAGCTAAACAGAATCCTAGGTAGGAGGTGCAGGTGCGGAAAATGGGAAGAGTTTTAGGCAAATCGATGCAGATTGAAGTCTTGTCAAGAGAGTGTAGGGCATTCAGAGAACTGAAAAGAGTTAGGTAGGCTAAAATCGAAACAGGGCAAGAGTAGCAAGAGAGGAAGTGGAAAGAACTCGTATCATGGAAGGTGTTTTAAATTATGTATGGAAGACTTGGCTTAAATAGCATCTCCTTAGACATGTCTTTCCTGATTCTCCAAAGCAGATAAGTTGCCATCATGTCTGTGTTCCACATTTCTCTTTTTCATTCATTCACTGTAATAAAAACTACTCTCTGCTATACCTCTGTTTGCATATATATCCCCCTCCTTTACCCTTCCAAATCCATAAGCTTACTGAGGTGTCAGGAAGAATATCTTATTTGTCATTGTATCCATTGTTCAATGCAGAGTACCTGACAAATATTAGGTGCTTAATACACTTAAAGAATGAGTGATGGATTAATTAATGAAACTAACTCAGAAAGTCAGGGGTTAGAGGTTTATGTCTAGGTGGATACACAGCTTCTTGTGGTACTAAACCTCCAGATCACTATGCACCTTGGTCAAGACTGGCATGGATCTGGTGTGGGGGAAGGAGGCAAGCCTCTATCTCTAGGCCAAAGGGCGCTGAGTAACCACACTGAGGGAAGTTCAGAACAGCTGAAAATGACACCAAGCGGAGTATTTAGGAGTTCTCAACTTTGGCTGCACATTACAATCATCTGAGGTACATTTAAATGTTATTAACACCTGCAACTCATCCCCCCCCCCCAAATTAAACCAGAATATTCAGAACATTGGTTCTCAACCTTGGCTGTAGATTGGTATCACTTAGGGAGTTGGAAAAACCATAGATGCTCAGGTCCCATCCCAGAGATTCTGATGTGATTGGCAGAGTGAGGCCTGGGCATGAGACTCTTGAAAACCCTCCAGGTGATACTAAAGTACAGCCAAGGTTGAGAACCATTGGTCTATTTGGACATGGGTATCTTTATGGCCCCTATGTGATTCTAATGTGCAGTCCGGGTTGAAGAGTTCTGGTACAGATTAATGGCTCTAAACCATGAATATGCTTAACAGTCACCTGGGGGAAATTACTAAAATGTATGTTCCTGACCCCTTCCCCCCCACCTCTACTTTAGAGAGGTTAATTCAGAAGGTGGTGAAAGTAAGGCCTAGGAATTTGCCTTTTAAACAAACACTTCAAGTGATTCCAAAGTTGTCGGTTCACAGACCCCATTTGTTGAGAAAGTAAATAAAATGATCTTTCATTATTCTTTAATACCCTGTGTAACACTAAATGGGTTTTTTCCAAAGGTCTCAGAATGACCGATAAAAGCTCATGGATCAAAGTAATTAGTGTTAAGTACCACCCTATTCTACAACAGTGTTCCTTAGCAAAGGCTATCACTAGAATCACCTGAGTTTTTAAACAAGGCTGCTACCCCACACTAATTAAATCAAAATCTATAGGACTGAGATACAGTCATCATGATTTGTGTTTGTTTGTTTGTTTAAGCTTCAGATTCCTATGACCATTCAAAGGTAAGATATATTATTCAAAAAAAGCGATCAAGGAAACCAGGCACATCCTATTTAAAGGCTGGGTCAACTCTGTCACATTACACAGAAGGCCTTTTCCAGTCCTAATTAAGAAGTAATTGTGAGATGAAAGAAAATTCATGGAGAAGTGTTACATCATTAATTTGGGTCAGAGTACTAAGTCTTTGCTTCCCTTCTGACCACTGAGAAGTGTTCACAATAGAACCAATGGTAGCCACCGGGGGTGCTTGAACGAAGGGAGACTAGAATCTTTCCCTGTTGGACAGGTAATGCAATGGACTTGGCGGTCTGCCTGTCACCTATGCCTATCTGATCAGAGGGAGAGAACTGGACAGCAGAGGCCACTGGAGCCTGAACCATCTTGTTGGTACCCACCCAAGAGAATCGAGAAGTATGAGTTCACAGGATATACAGCAGTTGGCAAACGCCAAAAGAAGCCTAAGAACCCAAAGTGGGAGAAATAAGATCCCTCCAGCCCAGACTTGGCTGGTGCTGCAAAGAGGTGGTGAGTGATAAACTGGACACGAGACTGGGGTTTTCAAAGTAATTCTGATTTCCTTTAGCTCTGTAAAAGTACCAGAAACCTGCAAGGCCAGGATCTGAAAGGGAGCAAAAGAAGTTTTTGAGTCAGCAAAATGCTTGTTCTTAAAACTAATGCAATAAACTGTTCATAGTTTTGTTATGAGTCCCCACAATGTTCTTATCCGGAACCTCCTTGAACATATTTTATGAAACTGTCCTACCAAATTTGGTTACTAATATAGAAATTTGGGTTCACTAGTTTAGCTCAGGCTAGGAGGAATATTAGAGATGGACGGGGAGGCTGCAAG